CTTCGCCGACTTACTACCGTTCTGGTCAGGGGCCTGGACTGGGTTCAGACAGTCTTCTAGGATCGCAAGGTTGATTGATGTGAGTAAAGTGGGGACCGCTTTTCTCTCTCTGGGATGGGTATTGCTAACTCTGGGCGATGTGGTAAGTCCTTATCCATCAGTCAAATGCATCCTGGGCAGACTGTCAGTCAAGGTTCAATTTCCTGATGAGTCGGCGAAAGTCCGACGAAACAGCCTATTCGGTAGTGTATAGCGAATATGACAACACACACACACACACACACACACACACACACACACACACACACACACACACACACACACACACACACACACGCATGTACGAAAGCACATTTCATCGATAAGACGAGCAAAAACGGAATGAATCTTTTGCTGAAACGTGGAAATATAGCCTGCCACTTTGTGATTTGCTCATTCTATTGATCTTCGCAGCGTACGGCGAGCCGTGGTGCCGGGGCCTTACAGACCCTCTCTCTCTCCTTGGTCGAATCATGAACGTCTCACGCACACACATCCCATCGATAGGACGAGCAAAACGGAATGAATCTTCCGCTGAAACGTGGAAGTATACACTGCCACCTTTTGATTTGCTTGTTCTATCGATCAAGGTAGCATGCGGTGAGGAGCGGGTAGGAGGCTTATAGGCTCTCTCTCCCTCTCTCTCCTTCTCTCCTTCTTTGATCTCCATCTCTCTCCCTCTTTCTCTCCCCTTCTCTCCCTCACACACACGTGCACCCCCGTAGCCTACTGGATCGGTCCAGACCGGATCGAGAACCGACCTCTCGTACAAAGTACAAGATAGCGTAGTGGAAGACTTAGGTACCGATGATCCGAACAATCAATATTGCAATGCAGCCCCGAACATACATCATCATCATCATTCCATGGTGTAAAGGGGTCTGGCGCTTTACACAGGAAGACTGCGCCAGCTCCAACCATACACAGACGAAGAAGAGGGAGGTTAGACGAAGAAGAGGGGAAGATGGAAATGTCGTCAACCCCAAGTCTTCGGCACAGGCCCAAATAGTCCCTCGTCAAAATGTTTGAATCCCATTGTCGAGTCTGGATCCAGTGTCGTCAAGTCTCAAGTCACAACTCTCTCTCTCTCTGTCCTAGTCTGCTGATACTGAGAAGTCAGGTGGCGAGAGGGTGAGGAAGAGACGTTGGACCTAGAGGAGGAAGAAGCCGAACACTCTCTCTCTCTCCTCTCTCTCTTTCTCTCTCACACACATACACACACACATCAATGCACACATCGGTAGATGAACAAAAACGGAATGAATCTTCCGCAGAAACATGAACATATTTATTCGATTTTTATTTATTTATTTATTTATTTGTTTACTTTGCTCATCCTATCGAGGGGAGCATCGGGGATTAGTTGCGAGGAAGGAGACTTACCCGTCCTTTCTCTCGCTCCCCCATCATCGGAGTCGGAGTCGTCGGAGTCATCTTCTTCAATCCGTCGGCGTCGTCACTGCCTGGCCACACGGTCAGGTAGGTATATTTCCCCTCCTTTTCTCCTCCCCCTCCTTTCTTCTTCTCCTTCTCCTTTCTCCTATCTTTCTCCTTCTCTTCCTTCCTCTTTCTCTAAATGAGGAGGTTCAACGAACCTTCTTCGACGCTCCCTGCGGTAACCGCCGAGATCAATACAATCCATACACTTCACTGAACCATTCAATCGGTAGGTGCGACAGAGGTGTGTGCAAAGGACAGGGACTTAACCAGCGCGAGCCGATGATTCGCGCTTACTGAGCATTCCTCTTCCAAGATCGATAATTACAACAATCTTCCCTGTCTCGACGACCCGTTTCCTGTCCTCCCTCTCCTTCTACTCCCTCCTCCTCCTCCTTCTTCTTCTACTTCTTCTTCTTCTCGCGCGTTCTCCTCCTTCTGCGCCCTGCCTTCCGCGCGCTACCCCCTTTCTCGCGAGGACGCGAAATAGTACCGAGCGGGCCGAGCTTGAAGCCCCGTACCCACTGCGGAGTCCTACCAGGCGCAGTCGGTTGGCTCCTTACTAGGTGAATCCGCCTCAATATCGGGGAGTGATTCATTTGGGCACCTCGGGGCAGGTAGGCCGTCAAGGGCAAAAAAAAAAAAAAAAAAAAAAAAAGTAAAAGAAAAATCAAAACTGAAACAACGAATCAAACGCGATTCAACCTCATGATTCACCCATACTTCGCCAAGTGTCCGAGCCCCACGACACATGGTTCTAACTAACAACTAACTTTACTAACTCCTACTTGTAAGGTCGTGGGTTCGAACCCCGCCCTACCGAGGGCGGGTGAAAAATGCAGGCCCTGCCCCTTACTGCTAGCAAAAAGGCTAGCCCAGAGGCAGGTCGGATTCGATCCCAATATCTCTTATATATCAATCCGCGTCTTTACCTACTAGGCTAGCTCTTACCACGATGTGGTAAAGCGCCCCTTTCCTATAAGTATACGTCGTTGTTTGTCTTTTCTTAGTCTGTGAGAAAGTGCACGTTTGCAAGTCAGTGTGCCCGTCCATATTTTCGTCAGTTTGAGTACGCGATCGACCACAAGGGTACGTAGTGGACTGGTAGGCCCGAAGGCCCAGCACTTAGTCGTGGCCACGTCGTTAGAAGGCTGCGACGAGAACATTCTGGTGGTGGGTAGGCCCATGCCTAGTTATGGTCGCGACATCCAAGGTCACGACGGGAAAACACTCACGTAGCGGAAAAGATCCATTACACCATGAGCGTGACGGACAATTTTTTTAGGTAGTAGGTAGGCTGGTACCTCACCATATCGAGGTAGACGCGGCGTACTTGACTCGGAGGCTGAGTAGGGGAAAACAAAGACCGAAATTTTTAGAACACCTAGTACCGGAGGGAAGACAGGCACTAGACCAAGTCTCAGTGCGTGTCATAGACCTGCCTGACACAATCATCAGCCCAACTGACCCTTTGACCTCTTCTGTCGAGGGGTATTACTACTAATCCTAATCACCACGTCGTGCGTCATAATTATGCGCGCACACACGTAACGAAAATTTCTCATCGATTTTGCCCCGGCCTCAGTGACCGAGGAATTTGCTTCCAGTGTCACGCCAAGCGTGCACACCCCCTTCATTCCAGACTGGCTACGTCACGGTAGCCGACGTAGTCACCGTGTCGAATGCAAAGACATGGCAAAATACCCTTGTAAGGGTATTTTGTCCGACAGTATCCCAGACCTCATTAAGCGATGTCCTCGTCGCTCGAAGAGCTATATGCACATAAAGGTGTTTTCCGACAAGCAAATCGTCAAATCCGAATTCTGGAATGAAATGTGGTTTCAGGATTGACGCCGTCACCTTACTTTTCATTATTACTGTCGGGATTTGAAACCGGGTCTCCCACAAAAAATATAATGACCGGAAGTGGGGATACTTGATCCGTGCTACAGTACATGAAATAGTTAAGTATGACAACGCACCTTTCCTTCCCCCACTCCCTTAGTCTTTGGCCCAGGTATTCGTTGGTTGTTTTCAGGGTCGGTGTCCGCATGCGAACTCAACCCGTCAAACGCGGGTCCTAACCGAGACCTTGGTTATTCAACTCTCGATATTACTTGTCCAAAGTTGTCTGTTGTCCTGCCCGAAGCCTAATACAGGAGGACAACGGTTTTCATCTCGACCCACCACAGTCCTGCTGATCAGGCCGAAGTTGCGGACCACCGCGTTGTTGCTTATCGGTGGTTACCCTCGTTGGTTAAGCAACGATGGGTTAGTCATCCTATGAATTTCAAACTAATCTCGACCCCTTCGACACCCACCTGAATAGGTTCCTTCACTGGGGTGGCCATCCCCTCTAACCCCTATTCTAGGCCATAGTCGAAGGGTCCGCTGCCTGGTTATGCTAGGTCAGCAGCCAACGCTGGGAGTTACGTTCCAACGATGCCAATTTTCCACCATAGGCTTGGTAGTTTTATGCCCTCAGGTTAACCCTTGAGGTGGATGAACGATGTTTTAAATAAACCAGATAAATGAGAATTTTCAATAAATTGAGCATTCGTCAGACTGTCACTCAGGGTTGTGTCTTCCAAGTCTTTGATCATAGCTCGCTGAGGCACGCACCTCAGGGTCATTTTATATATATATATATACATAAAAACCATTATTTATATATATATAACCATTATTTTTAAAATAAACTTTTATTGATTCTTTGTTTGTCAGAATCCACGAAAAAACATCACTTTCATAAAGATTGCCAAAGAATTTCTGCAATAGAATTGATAAGACTCAAAGGAGTCTGTCCATGTCGTAACATGGTCTCAAACAAGAAATGTACAATCAATCCAGCTTTTGAAGCTTCACAAACTCATCAAACTTTCACATGAAATACAGATCCGCTCGTTCCTCTATCACCATTTTAGATCTCAACAGAGTCTAGTGATGATAGACGAATGGAGGAGATCTTTGGTTACAAGAGACTCAACCAAAGACAAAGACCCACACACAATGTGACAAGTGCGTCGTGTTCACCAGCTCATCCTCCCTGAAAGATATATATAAATACGAATATGTTACAGAGTTTGATTGCTACTCACCTCTACTATCCCTCAAATATCTCACACGCCCTTTCCTATACTACTTCCTAGGCTAAGTTTCCTTATCTGACTGAAGAAAGCAACACAACATGTCTCATACTTTCCTATGTCTAACTGAAGAAGAAAACATATATCTCATGCTCTAAATTACCCCTTTCTCCTTCTCATAACTGTTTTACAAGCCAATGTAGGTAATGATTACTCAGATACATCTACCTACTCTTATCTAGAAATCAATCTGCAGCCACAGTATCCTGTGGAGTGCTACCCTGCCTCCCTCAGGTATCCTGGGAATGATTTGTCCCGTACTGGCCACCAATCTCTTATGACTATCATATTTGGTCTTTCCTTCCTTGATATAAATTGTCAGAATGGAACACTCATCCCTGAGATGCCCTTCCTGAGTGCAGAAGAAACACCTTTGTCCAGCCATGCTAGGCTTGATTCTCTTTATGTCTAGCTGGATCGAAGTCTCGGCCTGATCCTCAGCTCCTTTTGGTGAGCCCAACTCATGTTCCCTCTGCTTTTTGCCTTGTCTTGGCAGAGGCATAGCCACACTCTCACTTACCTCATTTTCTGATGCAGGAGACTCTTTTCTCTTCTTCTCAGTCTGTACCCCCTTCTCTTCACTCTTCTTTCTCTCCACCATCTCTGTGGCTTTCTTTTCTTTCCCCTAATGGTTCAATCTGAGTCCCTCCATTCCTATCAATATCTGTCCCCATCTTTTCTCCCACTCTTGTCCCAACTTCTTTCTTTCTGAGATTTCATTATCCAGGTCCAGCCCTAATACACTGACCTCAGAGCCCAGACCATCCATCTTTATTTTCATCCTTCCTATTGTGGCCGCTTCATTCTCCAATTTTTTGTCGTTCATAGTCAGGGCGGCACTCAATTGGCTCACTTCTTTCTGCAATTCCTCCTTCCCTTTCGTCAATTCCTTCATTTTCTCCCTCATCTCTTTCATATCTCTCATCATTTTTTTCACATGGGCATCTCTCTCATCTTCCTTCTTTCTTATCTCGCTCATCTCTTCCTTTTCTGTGTCTCCAATTGGCCCCTCTTCCTCAGACTTGTCCTTGGGAGCATCGCCTCCTTCCTGGATCGTCTTTCCTTCTCCAGCCTCCTTTACTCTTCCCTCCTTTTCACTCCCCCTTTCCTGTACCTCTTTCCTTCCACTCTCAATTGGCCTTTTCTTTCCAAGTTTCCTCTTCCTTGGTACCACACTTGCTCCTATGTTTTTCTTCCTTCCTTCTGCTGCCTCCTCCTTTTTCTGTTCACCTCCCTCTTCCTGGTCAGATCCCTTGTTACTGCTTTTGGGGGGGATCCTCACTCTGTCCTTCAATCTTTTCAGAGGCACATCATCTCCCTCTTCATCCTCTGCTCCTGCCCTTTGTGGCTTAGCCATTTCTCTTCCAATCCATAACCCCTTCTTTTGCAGCCTTCTCGTTCTTGTCTGATCCTGTCTGGCCTGGGTGTAGGTCATCCACAATTCTGCCGTTATTCTCTTCCAGGTTCGACTCTCTTCCACAATTTCTTTTACTTCCTCTTTTTCACTCTCTTCTGATTTTGCGATCAACTGTTTCTTCTTTTCCTCCTTGTTCCACTCGCCTCTCTCAGCGGCCAGCTGCAAGCTCTCGATAAAGTCCTCCAGATTGGTTTCATCAAACCTTAAGTCATCCTCCACATTGCCCCTTGGGAAGATCCCCATGTCCTTCCATAATCTCTCCTTGCATACTTTCCACCTCGTGCACCCTGCCACCACTTCTTCAATCCTTCTCTTGTACATTCCTGCTCCAATCACATTCGCAATTTTCTCCCTGTCACCCCATTCTCTCATGAATGCGTACTCTTAAAGGTCTCGCAGGAATACTCGCAGGCTGTCTCCAACCCTGTAAACGGGCAGCTCCCCCAGGTTCTTTGAGACTCTCTGATCCCTCCTCAGCCCGCCCTTTTTCAAGGTAGGTCTAGAGGGCCCTGCCACTGCGCCTCTCTGCGCCATGACCTCTTCTTTCCGAGGGTCACGCCTACACACAGAGAAGGAGTAAATGACAGGTACGAGGGTCAGATCATCACCAAGGCAACATTCCTTGTTAAACACAAGTTGACAATGCCCTCCTCTATCAGGCACTCCATACACGCACATATATATATACGCATATATATATATAAATATATATATCTTATATACATATATACATATATACATACATGAGCGTATATACACACACATATCCCCACTTATAACCCTTTGCATCTATGTATGTACACATACACATATATATATATATGTATGCATGTATGTATCCATATATGTAAGAGCATAACCTTGGGCAATTGGGTACATACCTGCTTAGAAACTGATACACATACGCATGCCTAAACACATTCCCAATCTATCCAAACTTTCCTTATCGTAACTGAGTTTACCTCTTCTCTGACTCGGAACTTCTTCA